TCCCAAAAACAAAAACAAAAACAAAAACAAAAAATGAGCAAACAAAATTTATAAATTTAATGCAGTCTTTTTAAATTACAATTTTTTCGTGTAGTTTCATTGTGGCTGTGTGTACATTGGAAACATGATCCTAAAATTTAAATAAAAGTGAAAAGCATCCTAAGTTCCAAGACAACCTTGAAAAACTATATATAAAAGCCTCTTATTAAATTATTTTAACTAGACATTGTAGTAACAATACAGTATAAATAAGTAGACAAATGGAATAGATTTGTGTTCAGAAACACAATCACACATGTAGAGAATCTTGATTATGGCAAAGGAGAAACCAAAGAGCAGTAAGGAAAGGCCCGCCAGTATGACAGATGTGGCTGGGTGATTTGGATATCTCATGTGGAAAATCGTAGTCTTATCCTCTATTACATATTACATTAAATATCAACTCATGCTGGATTTTAGATTTAAATATGACCCATAAAACAATAAAGCTGTTAGAATACAACATAGGAGATCACCTTCAAAAACAAATGAGGTGTGAAAGATTTCTTAACCTAGACCTACATAGGATCATCTATAAAGAAAATATGACAGTAAAATGTCTTCAGAAGATACCATTAAGAGGGTAAATAGTTGTTGGAAAGTGGGGAAAATATTTGCCATGCATATAACCAACAAAAGCATTGTTTCCAATATATAGGTAAATTCTAGATATCATTTTTAAAAGAACAGAAAAGCTAGGCAGAAGGTTTGAACAAGAACTCTTCAAGAGGTGATATCCAAATAGGCAATGACTACTGGGAGGGAAAAAAAAAAGATTGGATGGCATTAGTTATCAGGGAAATGCAAATTAAAATTACAATATTATACCATCACCTACCCACTGGAAAGTCTAAAATGAAAAAACACATAATACACATAATACTGCATGTTGGAGAGAATGTAGAACAACTGACACACGCTCGTTACAGTGATGGTAGGAGTGGAGTGTAAATTAACACAGCCTCTTTGTAATACCAGTTGTCAACATTTACCACATTTCAAAGTATACACTGTCTTTGACCCAGAAATCCCATTGCTAATATCCATTAGAAATGCATACATACGAAAACATCTGAATGAAAATGTGTATTAGGAACATTATTACTGTTATGCAGTTATAAACAAATAATTTGTATTGAAATTAATTGTTTTATATTTCTAGAAAATAAACAGTTTTAAAAGTCCAGGAACATTTCCTTTGTTAATGTCATGAAATCTGGTAAATGTTGGTTTTCTTTACAGGAAAAAATAAAAGTATTTATTTTCAGCCAACACTGATGTCACTCTCGATTGCTCAATTCACATCTGATTTCTTAAAGTTAATTAATACAGAGATTTTGTGATTAATATACTTGAAATCTATGTGCCATTCTTTTGAAGCAGGCTATCCATTCTCACAGCATGGATCTTTATTTATTTTTTTGTTTCTTTGGTTTTTAATTTGATTTTGTTTGTTTGTTTTACAGGCAGACCTGCTGGACTCTAAATCACTTCTTTATTGTTTAATTTGCTCTCTATCTAAATATCTCCTGTACAAACTTGGGAAAAGAAGCATTCTCAATTCTATTTGTTAACAAAGTAATGTGTTTATATTTAAAACAATTTTCCTCAGAAATGTTAAGGCCAATTATTATCCTTAAAGTATGAAAATGACACTAATGGTTGAAAATTTAATGGTTTCTTAAAAAATTCAATTTGGTTTTACAAAGAGAAATTAACTTTTGTTCTGTGACTATCATATGCCTTTAACAAGTTTTCATCTTGTAGTTAATTTTAACTACTATATACTGGCACTTCTTTTGCTTGAAGGCTATAAACTTTAATAGAGTCTCTGATACGGAGCTCACACTCTGACCAGGAAGGCCAAGGTAAGATGCAGGAAAGGCAGACAGCCCAAATACAGTAATACCCCACACCCACCACCTTATTATAAAAAAAGAAAAGACAAAAGAAAAAAGCTGGCAACTAGAGGCAAAAAAAAGGCTGCTTGGAATTCAAGGTTTTCAGAAACATGACCTGAAAATGACAGAGTTCACTATTAGTAATTGTTTGGGCAATGCTTATACATCTATAGATTGTTTATTTCATTTTCGTGATAATAACTTTGTATGTGCCAGGCTGAGAGGTGAATCCCAGAGTTCCTGAATATAGAAAAATCTATTTAAAGTTATCATTCTGAGAACAAGAACAATGGCAACTGGGAGATTTTAAATGTGTGTGATCTCTTCCTAAATAACTGGGAGAGTGTGTCTATGTCAGATGACTCAGATTTTGTTTTGGTTTGGTTTTACTGGTAAAATATACATTTAAATATTATTATCATGACCAGATAAGACAGTTATTACAGATTTCAGATCTGTTACCTACTACTGGAAACAGACACATCTAATTCAAAGATTTGTATTTTCCAAAAAAAGCATTAAAATTGTAAAATTACTTTTTAGAAAATTTAAAATATATATTTATATATTTCTGATTGCAGGTTAGTGTTTTTAAAATATGTATCAAAATGTAGGACAAATTAGTATTTTTTCAATTTCCCTTCCAACATTTGAGTTTTACGTGAAGAACTAAACCTCTGGAAATTAGTTTATTATTGCTTAGCACACTAACGTTTGCTATTCTCTCAGTTCCCATGACCTATTAAATAAATAAATATATACATATATATATATATATATAAAATTTGCAACATGATAAAGTCTGCTTGCAGACAATATTTGACATAATTCTATAGAGCTGAATAATCATTAAATGAGGATAATATGACTTCAGAAAAACTGCTCGTGTGACATGATGGTGACAAAATCCAGACTGTATTCTGTGTAAACTATTCACTTTAAAGTTATTTGTACTAGAAAAATTTTCTGACAAACAAAAAGCAAATGATACAGTTAACTCCCCTATACTTATTTTCCTGCTTCAACAACTCTCATAAATTTGTTCTTATTGTTTCATCCATTTTTCTGCCCTGTGTCCCTCCTTTTTTCTCTAAAGTTTTGTAGAGAAATTTCTGAACATATTTTCAACCCAAAACGTTATTGAATTATTCCAGAAGCAAACAAAGGTAATAAGGACTTTATTTGTTAATGTAACCCCAAAGTTATTATTCTGCTAATAAAAACTTCAATAGTTGCTTATTTAAAGGTAATGCCTAGGTTATATTGATATTCAAAAATGTCTCAAACATTTTTTAACAGTTGGTATGTTTGAATTAGGATCCAGGTAAAGGTTACTCACTATATTTTGTTATATTTCTAATTCACATTTAACTTAAAACAGTTACTTCTTCCTAATTATTTACTCATTATCTTTTGCCATTGATTTATTAAATATTCAGTCAGTTACTTTATAAAATATTCCACATTCTGGATTGAACTATTTTCTCCATTGTGGTATCTTTTATTTTCTCATATTTAAAAATCTTTGCATATTTAAAACTATTTGTGGACATTGTTTAAATATTTTTAAAGGAGATTTTGATGGCACAGATTATGTATTTCTGTTGGTGTGTGTGTCTATATACGTCTGCATCTATCTGTGATGTTTTGTTTGTATTAACTACAGCACTAAAAATTAAATTTTTACGTGCCGGGCAGCCTATGCTTCAAGGTGATCCTGATTTTCTAGCATTCAACCAACACCTCACTTTACACATCATCTTGGCAGTGCACAAACTCCCCAACCACAGTGTGCAAATTCACATAACATCGTGGGAAATATGAATATTCTCTGTGAAACAGAAATTCCACATCTTCTGTAACAAACTTCTTTATTTTCAGTAAGGCATAGGTATTTTTGTTTATTCATTTGTTTTAGGAGTGTTCAAGTTAAAAATTGAATGGGTGGAAAAAAATGGAGCAGGAAAACAAACTAAGAATTTGTTTGTTGTGTTTTTTGGAAAATCCTTTTTCACAGTTGTATTTTATATTCATTCTTCTGGATTCTTACCACCCTTTCTGTTTTTGTATCTGAACCTGCAATTGTGGGCCAAAGGCAAAGGTATATTTTCTTCATTCATTCAGAGTACATTCATTAAAGGAGTCTTCAGGGTTTTGCCACTGAAAATGTGAAATAACTGTATGTGCTATATGGTTATGAAATTTTATTGAAAATAATTTTTGTTTGAATTTAATAACAATAACTTCAGTCTTCTGACTTTGATCTCTTGAATTACTAGTCTCTCCCTCACTGTGAATCCTGATAAATGTCACTAAACTCAGTTGTGTTCATGTTATAATTATTTCCCCACTTTCAGAGGCTACTTTTCGATTGAGTAAACTGAAAGTACCTTCTTACCCAGGGAATCGAACATCCCATAAGCTAACCAAAACTTACATCTTGAGACACACCATTTCCTCAGTCTTTCTTGAACATAGTCACGCTACTTACCTGTTTCCTCAAAGCTGACCATGCATTAAAACGAAAAACAAAACAAAACAATGCAACAACAATAACAACAACAGCAAAACACTACAGTTATTTTTGTACAAATTTTCCTTTTTTTTTTTTTTTTCCTAGCAAATTTAGGCTAGACTTTCAGAACTGGTTTAAAGGAAACTTCATCTATCGAGTATTCCATAATTCTCCCAGATTTTTAATCATTTCTTCTACTTCATTACCATAGCAGTCTGCAAACATCTGTTTCATATACCCTAATTCTACTGTGGATAATAGTTATTTATATATCTGACACTTTTTTGTAGAAAGACCTCATGACATGTATTTCTGTTGAATGAATCTGCATTCATCTATGAGTCTGGATGCATTTTTAAAATATCTTAAAATTTAGGAAGCTAGACATAATGGATGTTCATTCTAGAATACAAGCTCAAATGTTTGAGCCTTTAGAGAAAAAATAAGTTTCCTTCTTCATGACAGGTTTTGCAAAAAGTAAAATTTTTATAGTAACAGTTGAATGTGATTAGAATATGTTATGCACTATTGTCATTGAATTTTAGATATGATCCCAAAACAGACACGTGGACCATGGTGGCTCCTTTGAGTATGCCCAGAGATGCTGTTGGGGTCTGTCTTCTTGGTGACAGATTATATGCTGTTGGTGGCTATGATGGACAGACATACCTCAACACTATGGAATCCTATGACCCACAAACTAATGAGTGGACACAGGTAAGATTGTCATCAGCATAATTCACTTCAAGGATAAGAATTTATTTCATTTTCTTTCTGTGGAGGAGGGGTATACAAACAGTAATCTAGTAAAAGTATCCTAAACCCAAAACGATTGCTTTTGTCCAACATTGTGTTAATTTTGTAAAAAGTTCATTAAATTATACATTCTTATGTACTTTTTATTACTACAATACCAATAAAATATTTATTAAAAAATGACATACATGCTTATTGAGATTTCCATTTTCCACAACAAGAAACAGAATCTGAATTTGAGTTACTGAAGTAAAAAATAAAAGTGTAATATATTGATTCACAAAACCCTAACTTTAGAATGTTTGGTTTTAGAAACAATATAAAGGCTGCAGAAATCAACCTTCTTGGCATTCATTTTTGTTACTGTTTATTAGGTCCATTTTTATCTGTTGCAGAGAGAATTTTCCACCTGGTGGTGCTGCTGGAAAGTCCAAATAGTAATCCCCGCAGCCATAAACAGAAAATAACTTTTTAAAAATCCCAGTTCAATTAAAAGAATAAACAAGAAAGGGCTTTGCATAGCCTGTCATGTAATGAGTGCTCACTCCTTGTCAATCATTTTGTCCAGGAAGTTGGAGTAAAATGACTGGCTTATCTTCGGTGAGGCATTATCTCTTACATACACACTGTAGTTAGAGACTCAGGATCTTGCTAGAATGAAACAGCTCCCATTGTAATCACATAACTAGAGGATGTGTGTTGGTGTGTGTGAGTGTGATGGGAGGATGAGGCCAGGGCAAACTAATTATAGTGGAAAACATCTTAGCTGCATAGCTACTATGGCCTTGCTTATGATGGAGGAAATCGATACATTCTGACTTGTGCCCTTACATATTTGATTTCTCTTTACTTTCATTCTTCTCCAAGTCTCTCAATATTTCTATTATTTCTCACTTTTCCAGAAATCTAAAAGTAAGATACTGTTCAAATAAATCGTTTCCATCTAAGAGTGCAGTACATCTCTAAAGCTTTATTTAATTGAAGCGGGATAATAACCACATCTCCTCATATTGCCTCAGTGGGTAGAAGGATCTGATTTTGGTCACAGAAATTGACTACAATTTATCTAAATAATTTGAAACCTGATTAAAGTACATTTGTTTTAAAGATACTTACTTTTAACGAAACATAATTTCCTTGATTTTGCCAGTTTTGATGGTACATGTTCAGCAACAATATTTAGTCAGACTAACCTCAGAGTACAAAACCAAATTCCTAATGGCTAGACTAAGGTACCTGCATTGTGAATTTATTATCCTCTAAAGGAAAACTCTTGACTTCAACAAAAATAGGTACATGTAGCCAAGTAAGAAAAAAGGAGGAGTAGAGAAAAGAAGGGAAAATATCAAGAGATCTAAGTCTTGTTATTTTCTACATTTTACTTTAATTGCTAAAGAAGAAGCATTTCTTATTCAAAGAGCACTGTATGTAAAAAGAAGTGAGCAATTATTGCTTTTCACATTATTGCACTAAAATTTTGAAGGATATATTTTGACTCTGTACCTTTCTGAGTCCCTAGTGTTTCCAAAGCAAACCCTGCATGCATGAATTAATGATTGTTGATTTATTAAGGAACTGTACTAGCTAAATGTGTGTATTTTAAATGTTCCACTTAACAGAACATTAAACAAAGGAAGCTTATGTTTATATAAGTGATGTAATATAATATATGAATACATATTTCTAATAAAGAGTAATTATGCTTATCATTCCTCTAAAATTGAAATCAAAACAATGTATGTAGTAATAATAGGTAAAAGACTGCTAAAGATCATTTTCCTTCATCTGTATTTTATTATACTTTTTTGGATTATATAGTATCTTACAAACAGCAAAGTGGCATTTAAAACGTTTTATAACAACTTTACTTTAATATAATAAACATTAAATTTAAAACTATTAAATTACTTTAAGATTTTGCTTCCATATCTTCTCAATATTTATATTTTTAAGGCTCTCGAGGGATGAGCAGCAGACCCATACAAAATCCCTTTAAAAATTTTCAGGATTCTAGCCTACTTGAAAGGTTTCCCATATTTGCTGAATTCCTGTCACTTTCACTCTATATGTCCTATAAGTGGCATAAGTTGATTATCCCATATAAGTTGATAATCACCCACAAAAGGCTGATTGTTAAAATAAATAAGCAAACTATATTAAAATATCCAAATATGTAGATATTTGGAAAAATAGTCAGGTTAGCTTGAGTTGGAAATAGATTAGGAATCGATTGCCAGTTTTGTTGCTTTGTTTTACAGAGAATGTATACACATACCATATGTATAGATACATGTGTGTATCTATGTATGTTTTAAATAAATTTGACTTTTGTCATTTAACACTGGGCTTATTTTTTGTGTTTGATTTGAAAAAATGATGCACGTGCTTCAAGACATAAAAAAGAACTTTAACCCATTTCCCCTTGCCTAAGTAAAACTGCCCTTTAATGTATTCTCTTGGCATATTCTGATAGCACTATCAGACTGCATTCATCTGCAGGTTATAAGGAATCAACGACAATGTTTCTTTTATTGTGGGGTCTCCAAAGACTAGCAGAGTTGCTGGCTCAGAGTAGGAGGTAGTATGAATGTTTCTCAAATAAATTGAGAAGTATTGTTGCAACTAGGTATACTTTTTGTGTATGCATTTCATTTATTTGTACACAATAGATATATAAGATATATTGAGAATGATATATTGCCAAATTTGTTACAGAGAAGCCTGGTGAAAGATCTACATTCAGCATTACTTTTATTTCATTGGTTCTGTGGCCAACCTTTTTAGGTTATCATACTACTCATGCTGAAGGGTACAACCCCTAGAGGGAGAACAAGGGGAGATTTTTAAAAATATATATTAAATAAATCTGGACCAAGAGGAAAGAAGGATAACTTTTCTTAAACATTTAAAACATACTTATATAGAAAAATACCAAATCTTTAAAATAGCATGATTAATTCTTCGGTAAGAGAATAGCACTTTGATAGAACTTAAGTGCATTGGACAGAGAAATCTTCTTTCAGGAAATATGTAGAATGAGGTCTGACAAATGAGTAATAGCTAACTAGATGAAAATATAGGAATGCTTTGGCTTAAGGAACATTATTTGTAAGAGCCAGAGGAAGAATATTTGGTATGTCTCACTGAGCAAGAAAGAGAATCATTAAGTTTTGAGAGATAGACATGGTTTACATTATGTAACCTGAGCTATGTGGAAGACTGAAGAAATGGATAGAATTAAACTTGTTGGAGATATATTTAGAGGGCTTGATGATTCAGATTTAGGGTTGAGTGAGGTAAAAAGAAGGGTCGAGGATTCTGTCTTGAACAACTGGGTGGAGATGGGTGTCATTTGCTGACATAAGAAACACAAGGGGAATATCGCATTTTGGTTTTTGGAAAAACAGAAAGGATTCATTTTCACATGCACACATACACACAAGCATATATAAAGATAGAGGTATAGATGTAGATGAAGGTATAAAGTTAAGTTACTCACTCTATATGTAGTCTAGTACACAGTACTGAATATTGAATGGACATCAGGTAGCCTTTGGGAAAGTTTCCAAAAATACAATTACCCAATATTAATCCTAAATTTCCATTTAGTGATAGGGTTTGTGCACATATACAGTCATGCGTTCCTTAAAAATGAAATACAATCTGAGAAATCCATCCTTAGGAAATCTCATCATTGTGCACATACTACAGAGCATACTTAGACCAACCCAGATGATATGGCCTTCTACACACTGAGGCTGTATGATATAGCCTATAGCTCCTAGGCTACAAAGCTGTGTAGTATGTTACCGTAATGAGTATTCTGGGTAATTGTAACAGAATAGTGTTTGTGTCTCTAAACATATCTAAACATAGCAAAGCTACTATAGAAATGTGGTACAAAAGATAAGAAGAGGTACACACCTGTATAGGGCATTTAACCTGAATGGAGCTTGCAGGACTAGAAACTGCCCTGCATGAGTCAGTGACGGAGTGATGAGTGGATGTGAGGGCCATGGACATTACTATATGTTACTGTAGACTTGAAAAACACTCTACACTTAGGCCACACTAAACTTATTTTAAAATATTTTTCTTTCTTTAATAATAAATTAACCTTAGCTTACTGTATCTTTTTTTAACTTTTTAAACAATTAAATTTTAAAAAACTTTTTGACTCCTTTATAGTAACAGTTACATTAAAGCACAAACACATTGTCCAGCTGTAAATTATTTTCTTTATATCCTTATTCTATGAGCTTTTTTCTATTTTCAAAAAAAAAAGCAGTACAACAGGTTTGTTTACACCAGTGTCACCAGAAACATTTGAGTAACGCGTTGTGCTTTGATGTTAAGAGGATTACGACATTACCAGATGATAGGAATTTTTCATCTCCATTATATTATGGCACCACCATTGTATATGTGGTTCATCCATGACCAGAACCTCAAGGATGAAAATGCAGCTATACAGTGCATGACTGTATTTTGTAAATGCTTCTTAAATGACTCTGATGTGAAACAATCCATGAAAATCATTAGATAATAAAAGAAAGACCAGGGAAAGTGCATGCATTTTGGAGTCAGGTAAACTTAGCTTTGCATACATTGATGCTGTGGGATTAACATGTTATCTCCTGATACTGTATTCACTACTATCTCTCTCATGGACATAACAGTACAAAATGTGATTACAAAGATAATAGTGATGACCTATAAAAACTATTCTTCACACAAATATATCACAAATATATTCACATGCTCCTTCCCAACTCTCATTTTGTGCAATAATTCTATGAGGAAGACAAGTGATGTTACATTAAATTAGCTTTTACAAATAATCCATTAAAGAATAAAAAATAAATATCATGTGGATTTTTTTAACCTACAGTGGGATGATGGGTAACAACAAATACATTCAAAATAACTGGTAGAAAATGGAGGTAATTTTTATATTTAGAGTGTAAGAATGTGTCCTTTTTCAATCAATAAGATAATGTATGTGATTTGAGGCTACTTTGTTTGCAGCTATTTTATTTCTTACATTTTATACACTTACTTTTCACTCTGAAATAATATCATGTAATTTCTAATCTACCTTGATATTCTTAGAAAACTGTAATAAAAATTATTGATATCAAAAAGCTCAAATTATCAAAATGTTGGCTTGTCTCCAAAGAATAAATTTTCATTACAAACTCTGTAAAAATTATTGCTTTTAATATATTTCTAACCATTTTCATATTCAGCATTATTAAAAAAATACTCAGTTCTCATTTCAGTGATTGTCATAAGATGGAAAATTTTTAATAAGCACGTAGCAATTATAATTATGGCCTATTTTCGGCAAAATATTGAATTTATTTCATTGTATGTCTCTGTCTAAAATGAATGAATAACACATTTAATTCAATACAATATCTGGGGAAATAACTTCAAAATGATTGCAGTAAGTGTAATAGCTATTTCATCTAAAATATAGTCCAAGCTATCACTATGAAATATTATCACAAATGTGTCCGTGCAAGCTCCAGAATAGAGCTTTGATGGAAACTTTTCTATAGCAGGTTAATTTCAATAAAAATCATTAAATATTTTAATACTGTTTTTAAAAACTCCATTAAAATTGTAGGCTTAAAAATTTTCAATATATAAATCATTGCTTTTTTTAAAAATGCCATTTTCAGTGTTTTCATTGTTATTGTACTACTTCTGGCTAACATGGGAAAATGAGCACATTTATTTATGATTTTCCTGTATATAATCTTTAAAATATAAGTTGTATATTTTTCTATGACAGTAAAACTTGTCTTAAGTTGTGTTTCATCTTTTTTAACAGATGGCTTCCTTGAATATTGGGAGAGCAGGTGCCTGTGTGGTAGTCATCAAGCAACCTTGACTTATTGATATTTTACTTGGAAAGATTTTACTTGCTGGAGTGGTTATTTTTATACTGAGTGGCAAGAATGAGAACTTCCAGAGATAAAAACTCTTCAAGAACAAGGATCTCTGTAGCATTACCTATTGATGTTGAAAGAGTTAGTAGATCAAACAGAATAGTAGGAAACAAGAAAACATTAAACTTATACAGGAACAATGTCTGGCCATATGTTAGTTAGTTCGGGAATGGTTATTGGTAATTTGTTTTGTATTATAGCATACAATAACTAGAGTTACCAAAGGCTTGTTTTTTCTTGAGCAGTTGAAAGGAGAGACCAGTATTTGTGACATGGATAATTTCATGACCACAGCTCATTCAATCATTTTATAGTCTATGGCAATATCCAAGAGATTGCCAAGAGTAGAGGACAGAATATTTCATCTGACAGAATCTGATTGGTTTACTGTTTTTCTAATCATATGTGATCACAATGGGAAGCAGAATTATGCTTTATTAAAATAAAACTACTTCTGCCTCATTTTCCTAAGCTATGAGAACGATTAGAGAAACAGATTCATGCTTGTATCTTGCATTCAGAAAACAAACTGTCCTGCTAATCAAAGCTGCATATTTCATCAGAGATAATGGTTGAATTTTATGATGACCATACTGGCAATCTGAAACTGGCAAACACAAAGGATTGTTTTCATTAGGCTTACCATGTTGCTTTGCTTTTTTAACACACTGAGCCAAAGATTCAGTATAATTATGAGGCTTTTGCCTTATGTTGAGTTCAGTGTAAGCATGGAAGCTAGTGATTCTGAATGTTATATATATCCATTGCATGTTGAACTCCTTTAGCATTTTGTTCTTAAACAAACTTAGAATATCAAAAGAAAAATGTATGATCCATTAAGTGAGAGTGTTTATGATTATTGCTAGAAAGAAGGAAGACTTCATATTCTCATCACCCATTTTTCAATCTTGTTACATTGATCTGTACATTATTTTAAGCTACATGTTTGTAATTGTTTAAAACATAAAGTGGAAACATTACACAATGTCCTTAATAAATAGATCCATGTAAATTTTAATTACGGTTAATAAATGATCAAAAATTTGCATTTATCAGTGTATTTTTTAATAAATTTTAAATCAAATGTAAGGTGAAAGTCAACAAGGTAGGTACAGAGACAGGCAATTATATTATCTGACTTTTCAAATTGAAAGAAGTATGTATCTCCATAAAAACATAATACTTATGCTGATGCCAAATGTAATTTTAATTATTGTTTCTTCTGTATTCACCCACTTGAGACAGTTATCATTGGTGCCCAGAAAACACGCATTGCTTAATAAGAGTACTAAGACTAGTGTAGGAGCTAGAAGAGGCAAGAGAAACTTCTTTGATTAAAAAAATCAATGAAAACTATGGAATGGGCTTATATTGTTAGGTAGCCAAAGTATTTGAAATCTAACAACTGAGGAAAATATTAAGAAACAGTTTGTCTCAAGGAAACATTAGGAAATTTGAATTTTCTCGAAATGAACGCATGGTCAAATGTATTAGTTTATTTCAGAAAAATGATGCCATTATAGCTAAAAAAAAATATGGTAATATCAATGATAATTTTTACATTGTGGTGAAAAACATGTGATATCAAATTTACAATCTTCAGTATTTCCAAGTATACCATTCAGTAGTGTTAAACATATTCACATTGTTGTGCAACCAACTGATTTGCAAAACTGAACCTCTATACTCATTAAACGACTCCCTTTCTTCCTCTCCCTCCAGCTCCCGGTAACCACATTCTACTTTTTGTATCTATGAATTTGATTACTGTAGAGGCTACATGTAACTGGAATTATACAGTAAGTTTTGTAACTACTATATTTTACTTCACATAATGCCTCAAAGTTAATCTATGTTGTAGTATATGACAGAATGTCCTGTTTTAAGGCTGAGCAAAATTCTATTGGATGTGTATGCAATATTTTTAAATCGATTCATCTATGCATGGACACTGGTTGCTTTCACTTCTTTACTTTTGTGAATAATGCTGCTACAAATACTGGTGTGTAAATATCTCTTCAAGATCCTGCTTTTAATCCTTTTAACCATATATAACAAAAGTGGAATTGCTGGATCATATGGCAATTGAAATTGCTTTTGTTTTTTTCTTAGGAAGCACCATACTGTTTTCCATAGTAGCCATACCGTTTAGCATGCCCACCAACTGTGTGCAGAATATCCTTGTCAACATTTTTTGTTTTAGAAAGTAGTCTTCATAATGAGCATAAGATGATAGCTATTGCCTTGTGATTTTAATTTGCATTTCCTCAATCATTGCTTGCTGGCTATTTTTATATAATCTTTGGATTAATGTCTATTCAAGTCCTTTGTGCATTTTTAAATTTTTAATTTATTTATTTTTTCTTTTTATTCTTCTATTTTATTTTCCTAGGCTTTAGGGGAACAGGTGGTGTTTGGTTAATGAGTAAGCTCTTTAGGGTGATTTGTTAGATTTTGGTGCACCCATCACCGGAGTGGTATACACTGTACCCAATTTGTAGTCTGTTATCCCTCACCACCTCCCATCCTTTTTCCAAAGTCCCCAAAGTCCATTGTATTATTTTTGTCCCTTTTTATCCTCATAGCTTAACTCCCACTTGTGAGTGAGAACATACAATAATTGGTTTCCCATTAATGAGTTACTTCACAATTAGACTAGAATAATGGTCTCCAATTCCATCCAGGTTGCTTCAAATGATAATATTTCGTTCCTTGTTATGGCTGAGTAGTATTCCATTGTGTATGTGTGTGTGTGTATAGATAGATAGATAGATAGATAGATAGATAGATAGATAGATAGAGATAATCTCTATCTCACAATTTTTTATCCACTAATTGATCAATGAGCATTTGGACTGGTTTCACATTTTTGCAGTTGCTAATTGTGCTGCTAAAAACATGTGTGCAAGTATCTTTTTTGTACAACGACTTCTTTTCCTCTGAGTAAATACCCAGTACTGAGATTGCTGGATCAAATAGTAGCTCTACTTTTAGTTCTTTAAGAAATGTCCACACTGTTCTCCATAGTAGTTGTACTAGTTTAAATTCCCACCAGCAGTGTAAAAGTGTTTCCTTTTCATAGTATCCCTTCTGACATCTATTATTTTTTAATTTTTTTATTATGGCCATTCTTGCAGGAGTAAGGTGGTATCACAATGTAGTTTTGATTTGCATTTCCCTGATCTTTAGTGATGTTGAGCATTTTTTCATATGTTTTTTGGCCATTTGTACATGTCCTTTTGAGACTGTATATTCATGTCCTTAGCCCATTTTTTGATGAGATCATTTACTTTTTTCTTGCTAATTTGTTTGAGTTCCTTGTAGATTCTGGATTAGTCCACTGTCAGAAGTAATGATTGTGAAGATTTTCTCCCCCTCTGCGAGTTGTCTGTTTATTCTGCTCCTTGTTTCTTTAGCTGTGCATAATCATTTCAGTTTAATTAAGTACCAACTATTTACCATTGTTTTTGTTGCATTTGCAAGTCAATAAATATGATACAACACATAAACATAATTAAAAACAAAAATCACATAATCATTTCAATAGATACAGAAAAAGCATTTGAAACAATTCAGCATCCTGTATGATTAAAACCCTTTAGCAAAATCAGCATGGAAGGGACATACATTCTCGTGTGTTAATATTACTTGAGGCATTCTAAATGAAGATTGTACTCATGTGTTCTTCATTTAAATATAGTATATGGTTTGTATATTTTAAGACCTATATTTATGACAGAATATTTTTCCTAAGCTCAATGTAATTGTGACAAAATTAATTTTAAATTATTTATTTCCCATCTTTATTTTGTAAATTTTTCTCCTTATACTCAGTATAGTTTTAGCGATGGCTAATATAATGATATGATTTAATGAATAGTGTAAACTATTAACTATTATCCATCAAAAACAAACAAAAAACTAAACAACTGTTAAAAACTTTTCAAAATTAAATTAAAACATTCCTTTTAATTTAAAATGTGGATAAAAGGTGATAACTTAGTTTTCACCTGAAAATATTGAAACATTATAAATGAAATAAAAATTATTACATTTTATAAGATGAACAAAGCAACTGAATAAATTTATTCATTCCATTTATACTCTACAATAACATGTGCTCAAAATAGTACTGATGTCATTTAACTATTACAGGTATTAAAAATCATTATTTAAAAACTTAAAATATTTTTAAATAAATATAAAAGATAACATTTTATAGACTAAACAATCAACTAAGTAAATTATGTATATCCTTATATTCTACAAACTGTCATGTGATCAAAACAGTACTGTTAATGTTTTACTATCGTAGACATTAAAGTTTTAAACCTTAAAATTCCTGTTTATATTAAAGAGTACTTTTCTCATCTATTCAATTTGTAATTAAAACATCCAGTTAACAGTTATAACAGTTAACAGTGATAAAAAAAAATAGTAAATTTCTATCGGTAAAATATGTTGCATTATTTTCATGATTATAGATATGCAGTACATCAAGTGGTATCACGTAGCCATAATTAAGTGTTAACCTTTGTTTTAGTACATTATATTTCATAGGATCTTGGCCTCTTCCGATTGGTTCTGATAGCATCGGCTTGCATCCCTTTGCACTCTCCTCCCAGTGTACACCATTTATTCTACTCACGTATTTTCTCCAGCAGACAGAACATGTACATAATATTAGCACTCTGAAATGGATAAATTCATTTTCAAATTTTAAAGAATAGAGGAAAAGATAAGTTGATTTATGTCTGTTTAAAAAAACGGTAAAATATTGTAGTGGTCATATTCAAAAAGTTAACATTAACAATTTTATAAATGGTTTTATTTTCCTGAGAATTTTCTCCAAACTAATTTGCTACATTCAATCATTTTTGTATACAGAATATATTAGCCAAATACTGCTTATACTGCATGCAGTGATTATGTATATCAAATTTATCATAAGCAGACTATGAGGAGTAGTTTGAATAATGAATTCAGAGCCATTATGAAGTGTTTTTCTAGGACAAAATAAACTAAAGTAATATTTAACTAACAACATTTTCAATACATTAATTGTAAATTTTTTAAAGCCAATGTGATGTATCAGGGCAGAATTCACTATTTTACTTCCTGATAAATTTAGAGGAATTTCATCCAAATTGACATCATATAATAAATAATTACATTTATCATATTCCTTTCTCTGTCTGTCATGTATTGTTTAACCTATATTGTTAGTGAGGAAAGTGAATTATATGTAATAAAATACTTTAGTTAACTAAGAGTTACTGGACGTGCCAATACTGAAATTTCAGTACCACAAATGTTAATTTAAAATGTGCCAGTAATTAAATTAACATTTTATAAAGAACTATAGATGTAGAATGTGAAAGCCATTGTCTTTTAATACCTTATATAAAGTAAAAGTTATATGTGTGAACATGATTTCCCACCTTAGTAAATCTCTGATCCCGGTGTATGTACCTGTGTTTTTTATGAATACATATAAAAAAATCTAGTTTTAACTATTCTGATAGTATCTAAATAAGAAGATATTTTATTTACAAGTACATTAAAGATAGTTTCTAGACAAAACTATATATGTAAATAGTTGTAAATCACACTTTTTCCTCTCTTCATTTACCCAGAGTTCAAAAATTAAGAATTATGTTTGATATAAAAAATACAACTTTATTTTGAACTATTTATTAATAGATAATAAATCCTATCATCTCCAAAATCAATTGACAATTTTTTAAAGGCAATCCATGGTAGACTTTATTATACTTTGAACACAAGCATTTAATTCATTCAGGCACTGTGTATATACTTTAAATGAGATTACTCTGGAGACCAAATTGAGAATTTGAAATGTATATTCTAAAAGCATTCCTGGCTAATTATGTTTTCAGCATTACTTCATTGTATCAAATGCTGTGGTCTTAAATGACAGTTCAGTGGCTATAGTACGTGGAATAGTTTTAGTTTAACTAAGTCACTGTTACATTTATAGGATTATTGTGAATTATGCAAATAATCATATTTTACTTTTGCCTTGACCATT